GAACTGAACTTAGTAATTCCTATCTTGAAGATGGAGCACATAATCCCCTATATCTAGGGTAGGAAAAATGAAGAGGAATTCTACTGTGATGCTTAGAATATACTTCAAAAAAATAAGACATGTAAATTAGAATACCAGGTACATAAAGCAACTTTTAAAATACTTAGCACGTATACGTACTGCAGTAAGTCTCATGAAAGAATTTCTGTTCAAATGATCAAGAAGCTAAAGGTATTTAAGCTAAAGTATCTATTAGTTTACTACCAAAAATCTCAAGCCAAAAAAGGCCTACTTATGTAGGAAGGCACCAAAAAAATATGGGGTAAGAATATCCTCAAAGTTGTCAGGCTCCTTAGCTCAACCTGTCTTGCCTTGTAAACATATGCTGTTTTGCAAGTCTCCAGGAACAGGTAATTCCCCTGGAATAGTACTGCCATACTGTATTTTACAGTCTGACTTTCTTGTATGCTGCTGGGATCAGTGGATTGGGGGGGGCATTTTTTTGGTGTTTTTTTTTTTTTTTTTTAAGGATTTCACTGATATTACTATTTTTACATGCATTCAGTTGTATCAACAGGTTACACACACAGGTTAATATTAAAAACCTATTATGCAAATATCAGAAAAAATATTGTAGTATCTAAACCAAACTTTTGAACTCTGTAGTCCTAACAAATGCTGACTATACTTTTTAGCAAATACTTTACAGCATCCTGAGGGTAGTAAAGAAGATAACATTTTTGCGTAACTGAAGTACTATTTCAAAGCCACACTGCAGGACATAATGCTTCAGACAAAAAAAAAAAACAAACCCCAAAAAACCCCAAAAGCAAAAACGCAGCAGCTTTGTAAATCCAGTGCAGACTACAACAAATAAAAAAAAAAACAAGACATGCAAAATAAAGTCAGGAATTATGAAGAATGCATTTTTGTACTTTAATAAAACATCTACATAATCTGACTATTTTGAACCTGATGTCACAGAATAAGCAAAAGTGGAAAGGGCATGCATCAAGATGGAAAAAGTGCTCCCAAACAAGAATACTGCATTAAGAGTTGCCAGTCCTTCCTAATGGAGAGGGAAGAAAAAAAAAAAAAAAAAAAAAACAAAAACAAAACCACACCAACCAGGACCACCTTATGCACCACATATGAGAGTAAATAAAAACTTAAAACTGGGATTTTGGGGGGAAAATATTTCTTCTCGGCAAACATTATACACTGGGTACTGGAGAATAAACTGTCGACTTGTCACAAACTAGAAAAAGAGATTTGTCTCTCAGAACTTAGAGAAATGTTTTTCAGAGCACTATTTAAGAAAATATGGGATTATAGGCAGAAAAATGTGTTACTCTATTTAAAGCTCAATTTTCTAAACAGTAACAATAAAGAGCAAGGATACTTTTATTCCCTAAGCAAATTCTGCATGTGTAGATGGTAATTAAGCGTTCCTGACATGTCAGGCAATCCTCATTAATATAAGCACAGGATATGTGATGTTTCAAGGCTCACTGTAATTGAACACTGAGACAATGTTGCCTTCATCTCCAGAAGGGTTTCTTAATTCTGTGTTAGACAGAAAGAAAAGTCTTACCAATATCTTCTTTGAGAAGGTGCATGTCTGCTGATCCTCCATATGTGGAATAAGGAGCCCTGCAAGCAAAAAAGGCATTTGGTGCCTCTGTAGGAGATGAAAAGGGGATCCTTTTTTTTTTTTTTTTTTCTCCTCTCTCTCCAGGCACAGATCGGGTCACCTCCTTCTTGATTACCGAGTGTTAGTTAGAGGAATATTATTTTTTCCTCTCATCTTTTCACAGAACAAAGAATAAAACCCAGCCGTAGAAACAGGCAGGCTGGAAAGGAAATACAGGAAGAGCAGGAAGAAACACCGCAAAGATTTTTGGGCTCTCCACAGAAAATGAAAACGTCAAAGAATGCTATTTCAACGAAAGATCCATTCAAGACTGGAAGCTGATGGGCAGATCCCCTTGCTGAACAGGAGGATCAGAAGACATGACCCAACTAAGAAACAAGTTTTACTTCAAAATTAATACTGTGGAATTTAACAAAAAAACCCCAACAACCAAGCAAAAAAAGCCAAAACTGTCACCACTACCCATCTTTCTGAAAAACTGTTTTAGCCAAAGGATATAAATCAAGTTGAAACTTTCATAACTGTGATGTATCTAATTTTATTTAATGTATTTGAAAAAAGAAAATGGAGGGTCATTATCCATCTTGAAATGATAACCTCACTGGTCATGAGCTAAAGCAATATGAAAAAATACAAAGTTAAAAAGCAAATCTGCACACTATTTACAATGGACAATTAATCCCTTTGCAACCCATATAAAAACATTATTCAAGAATATTACCGAGTGTTCCAATGTATACTGGTTTTGGCTGGGATAAGGTTAATTTCCTTCACAGCAGCTGCTATGGTATTATGTTTTAGATTTGTGACCAAAACAGTGTTGATAACACAGGAATGTTTTAGCTATTGCTGAGCAGTACTTACACAGCGTCAAGGACTTTTCTGCTTCTCACCCCACCCCACCAGAGAGCAGGCTGGGGGTGCACAAGAAGTTAAGATGGGACGCAGCCGGGACAGCTGACCCCAACTGACCAGGTGGTATCCCATACCACATGGCATGGCATCATGCTGAGCAATAAAAGCTGGGGGAAAGAGGGAGGAAGGGGAGGATTTTTGGAGTTACAGCATTAGTCTTCCCAACTGTTACACATGATTGAGCCCTGCTTTCCTGGAGTTGGCTACACACCCGCACACCAAGCCGATGGACAGTAGCAAATGAATTCCTTCTTTCGCTTTGCTTGCACACACAGCTTTTGCTTTACCTATTAATCTGTCCTTATATCAACCTACGAGTTTTCTCCCCCATCCTACTTGGGTGGAGAAAGCGAACAGCAGCACGGTGCTTAGATGCCTGTCAGCGTTAACCCACAACACAACGTTAGTAGCCTTGGTGCCTGAATCCCTGTATCAGGTCCCCAGCTAACGTTACAAAACACTCTCACCTTCAGGACGGAAGGCACCAAGCACAACCCACCTGAATTTGCTAGAGAAAGCTAGGTTGCTGCAGTGAAGTAGAAACAAGCAGGAGTGACAGTAAGAACGGATGGCCATTACTGCCCCCCTAAGAGCAGAGCTGTCCCAAAGGGTAAGGTCTGTGTGGGAAGAAAGGAAAAGTGACTGCTCTCAACTACCAAACTCCCTCCCCAGTCACTTGTTCAGTAACCACCGCCTTGTTTTTACTGGGATTACAGGAAAGAAAAGAGGCAGTACTTAACTAATATGAACAACAAAACATTGCTCAAAAGCTGTCCTCCAGTTCTTCACAGAAATTGCCAACTGGACTATACCAGTTTAAGGAAGAAAACAGCAATTTTAAATGATCGTTATGCAACCTTCTTCAGGCTTATAAGAAATCACTTTTACACTTATTATTTCCATGGAGGATTGTGTTTTCAGCTTAAATCGAAATATTTCTTTCATATATTACCTATTTCAGCCAAACAGAAAACTAGATTCAAGTTTAACCCAAACATATGTAAGGAAAAATTCAAATATGATATCCAAATGTGTAAACTGGATTAGCCTGCACATTACTTCCACATATAGCACCAATTCAAACCTCAGAATCAAAAAGCATCTTCCACCAAGCAATCCTGATCCATGCATTTGCTGCTAATTAAAAAGAGCATCTACATTTAATCATGTCTGCTTGCATCCAGGCATTAACTCAGACCTCTAGAAAGGCAGAAAAGCCTCTGTAACTCTCTACTATCTTTTTACCACTTCTGTGACTTGTTTTTGCTGCTTATTCTTTTTACGTGTTCTTTCCTCAAATTGATGAGTATCATTTCCAAAAGATTAGCTTAATTTTCAAAGGAACACGTCTCTGTACTGGCATAAAATGGAAGAAGCATCCCTTTACTTCATAGGTCATTATTTAGAACATTTCTTTGTAGCATTAATGCTTTTATCAATTCCTATTCTTATGGTCAAAGTTTTGTCCTAGATCTGGCAGGCAAGCAGAATTTTTACAAGAAGCAAACAACTGACTTTCCTTGTCTTGGATGTAAAGCATATCTCATTTTACAAAAATTGAAAACATATGCTTTGCACATTTGTATTTCTTTCCAAGTTAAAGGAACAGATGATTTCATATTCAAGTTCTCATATTTGCACATCAGATTCAAGTACTTGGAAAGTAAAGAACAATTTTAGTGCATTACTTTACAAAACTTCCAATATGGAGCTTAACTTAACCTGTCAGCCTACCAACTGAGCACTTAAATGAAGTATAAGAAGGTACAGCTCACAAATATTCAGCAGAGACTACTTCTTTAAACACCAAGTCATGGATTTGGAACATAATGTATTTTTAGCCTCAATCTTAATTTCTTTCCTCCAGAAAAACAGCTCATACTCTCCTTGGTCTGAACCTAAATCTGCGAATCACTTCGAATGCCATTGTTTCCTGTCACTGTTTGTTTTACAAAGTTTGTTGCAGACTAGATTCCTTGCTGTTTTCAGCTGAAGTTCTATGCTCTGTAGAGACTTGCTTTTTAAGATGTGTGACAGCAAGCAAATCTGAAGGACACAGAAACAACTCATCTTTTGTCTTAGTTGTACCTCTGTAAAATGAAGATAATTTTATGTTTGAAAGCTGCTCAGATAACTACATGATGTGTACCAAGAAAGAGAACAGTGCAAGTACAGCTACTAAATATTTCTTCTACAAACAGAAGTTGTATTATTTTAGTTCTGTTACAGTAAGCCTTAAAGCTTGTTAAAGATTGTATTACTTAAGAAAAATAGAAAATTAATCTATTCATCATAGCAATCATATAGGAGAAGGAAGGTAAGATACACCTTTAAGGATTAAATATAAAAAAATAAAGCATATCCTGAAAAAACAAAGGCTAGTTTTACCATAACATCTCTCTAAATATAGCTCAGGAAATTAAAAGGTTATAATACACAGACAGTATTGTAACGTCACAGACTCTGAGCCTCAGATAGTGTAAAGGCAATTAAAAGGACAGATGTCAAACTTAAATACAAAAGACTAGGAAAATTCAATAGCAAAAAAAAACAGCTAAACAAAGATAGTGTATCATGTGGTGAGTCAAACTAAGCCCAACTAGTTTTTCCACTTCGGTTACAAAAAGAAGAAAAGGATTCTGTACATACATTAAGATAGGCTAGCTCAACAGATCTCCAAAAGAATCAGATCTCACAGTAGAGAGGCCAAAATTGCACCTTTCAGGCTTTTAACCTTTTTAAAAAGTGTAACAAAGTACGAGTTAAGCATTCCTTGCTAAGAATAAAAGCATGACTTCCCAACTTTGCTCAAGGTAAAGAAAAATAATGAAACCAATTCATTTAATACAATGCCCCAGAAACTTGAAGTAAAAATGATTTCTAGCTATTAAACATAAAATTTTTTACAGGCACTATAAATGCTAATTTAAGTGATTTGGCTGTGTGTAGTAAGACTCCTCTCTGTACAGGAGAAATTTCAACCTGAACAGCTTTTAAACCAAATTAATCTTTTCTCTGCTCAGAGGATCATTACAGAAGTACATAAACACCTTTGAAAGTTTTGCAAACAAAGCTATTAATTGCTAAATGTACCAATGTACCTTATTTTATTACATGCATTTAATCCCCAGTCTTTTGAGTATTTGTAAGAGCGAAGTCTGGTACTTTAGAAGTCAATTTAGTGATTTTTCCCCTCCAGATGCTAGCACAAACTATTCTAGACATAACTATATCTCGTCTCCACAGTAACTAATGTCAAGGATAGTATTTTACAATATGGCTTAACAAATATTTGGGTTCCTCTATATGATTTGACAATGCTAAAATCAGTTTTCCCCTAGGTAAAAGAATAACAGAGCAATACCTTACCTAATGTTTCTTGCTAAAGAGAACCACAGGCATTAACAAAATGCCCTATCGATGCAATAGAAAGCCTACTCTGAACTGAATGAAATCAAAGTGAATTAGACCTGTATGAAGTGCTGAAATATATTACATATTATGAAGCTCTTACTTTCACATTTAAAAATTAAATACAGTGCTCACTTGCATTTTCCAGAAATACACAGAGAAAACAAGAAACTAGGTCTCTCATTTCTCCTAGTGTTCTTCATTGATGACCCATTCTTTATATTCTAAAATTTTGTTAGGTAAATAACTTAAAACTTTCACTGTTGAATACTTAGAGAAAAAAATACTACTCTCCTAATTTGGTCTGAAAACAAGAATACTACCAGCATAGTCAATAAGTTGCAAAAAATCTCTTTGTATGAATACTGCAGAGGAGAGCTACACAACCTCTCTTCACTAGCGATGCAGAAAATTATGTATTTCTTCTTGTCAAAGATCCTAGCAACTCTTCAGTCAAGTTCTATTACTGTATGAGCAAAAATTAAGTTAGCTTTACTGAAATGAAAAGGAATATTCTTACAGTCCTTTTAATATAGTTAAGATATTTAATCGTGCATTTTAAATCTGTTGGTAAAATGAGTTTCAAAGAGGCAACAACTGAAATACTTCGTAAATGTCAGATATGGTTCATATATCATTCTGTGACTAGGTATTCAAGTGCCTAGATTTGTATCACTTTAGGCAAATCAAGGATAAGTTTATCAATTTAGTTCTCAGAAGTTTTGATTTTAAAATGCTTCAGTATGGATATGACAGCATTCAGAATTCACCTGGTTCTATTTTAATTAATATTTTCATGTGTATAATCCATTACATGAAAAAAATTGCAATTTAGCAAGACCACCAGTTATATATGTGAGAGGGGTAATTTCTTCAGAAGCTTACTACAGAGTCCTCCTTCCTAAAGGCCTGGATTCCTCTTCCCCTGTAGCTTCCCAGCTCCAGCCTTTCCTTTCTCAAGGATTATCTGATGTGTGGATTATTAAAAACACAAAAGGAAACACAGTCAAAACCTCCAATTCTTTCACTATCAAGTTGTGTGATTCCACAAGATGGAAAAATGACTGTGCATCGCTTTCTACCATCTCATTTTGCATTTTCTTGTTTTAAAAGAGACACCTGCATTTGGTAGCTAATAGCAAAAAAGGGCGAGAACAAATAACCAAACTAGTATTCCTGCTTAAATATTATGGTGAAATGAGTGCATCTATAGGAAAATCTTTATGGACATTAGAATGATGCAGGAATATATCTCTTGATATTAATTTTGCACACAATCTGCCAGATGCACCCCCCCCTATAATTCTGAAGTTTTAAGAAACTGAGATTTTGGATATAAGTAAAGTCAAGTTCATTCTCCCTCAAACAACTGTATTTATACTGAACAGACATACCATTTAAAAAATGCAGAAATTTGTTGTAACAAGAATCACCTTTAAATGTTAAGTCTGTCTGCCACCATTTTTTCTATCGATACTGAATGACAATCTAGCACAGGTTCTACTTTCAGAAATCATTTACAATGGCAATAATAGTATGTATAAGTAATGATTTTTAGACAAGTTCATAAAAACACAGCACTGTAAATTCAAAAGTAATTTATTTGAGAAGCTATAAGCCTTACTAAAAGGGTATTACTTACTATGATCAGCTGCTTATCTCCATCTTTTCCTGCTTCTTTTAGCTTCTGAATATGTTCCTCGGATGGTAGGAAATTACTGCATTTTGATGCTAATGAAGGATTTGACAATGGAAGCCTTGAAATATAAATATATTTCATGTTAAGAAAGGGACTGCTTATACATATCAGCCTCGATACCCAAAGCCATTGTGACTAGTATAACTAAACTTTAATGAGATGGAAATCCAAGTTAATCACTGAAAACACAGTCCTATATATTTTAATTTGTAATTCTAATGGAAAAATAAGGAAATAAAAGGATTAACCAGAAAATACAGTTTGTGACTAGCCTAGTTACAAGAACATTTAAAAAAAAATATAATCAAGTGGGGTAGGTTAGTCATAACCATTAACACAAGAATTTAACTGAGGCATTTTCAGAGCTTGAATGATGGTGCTTAATGCTACGTATTTCCTATGTAAGGTTTCAGTTTCTAGTTTTAGGTATCATACATCAGGCTGCTAAAGCAGACCATGCAAATATTCCCACAAATATAAGCAGGCAATATAAAACAGATGTCATAAAACTCTCAAATTCAATTCAAACTTATTGTCTTCTAATGGCTGGCAGGGAAGGGAGGGAGAAGAGGACCTGAAGAATAAATGGATGGATATCACTGGAATCTCTCTCACTCAGTTTGTTTCCCCTTGTCATGACTGAAAGAAACACTGCAAAGTACTATAATACTTCAAAAACAAAGTTATTCTATAAACTTGCTACTATATTCAGGGGAAAAAATAACATTAATTTCAGTTTTGGATAACACTTGTGGAAATCACCAAAGCAAAACACACACAAAAATACTTGTACTTCAAGTAGGTATTTAAATATTTTCTGTTTCTCAGCAAACTAAGGATATAGGGCCAAACACTTAACTGTAGCAGCTGCTGTAGATGTAGCAGGTTAATTCAGTGAGCTTTTTCAAAAATAAAAACTCTTACCAGACATCAGTGAGCTTTTTCAAAAATAAAAACTCTTGCCAGACATTTTTACGTTTTGTATTCCTGTCATGTGCCCCAAAATTTGCACTAAGTAGTTACCTTCAAGGTCTGGCTTTTCCTGCTGCAACTTTTCCTTACAAAGCCCTAAAGAGAGCTACACTGTAAATATGGACATTGCTCTATGTTGTGGCAAGAGTACCACAGAAAGAATGATGGCTGAAATCTTGAATAGCGTATGGAAAGCAGGGTAAGAAAGCTCTCACAAGAAAAATATATACCCAAATAATAGTAAAGCATTATGGGCTTGTTCAGCTAATGAAGTTAATAAATTTGAGTAGATACTATAAAGCTGTTCGGCAGATGAGGACAAAAATATGAAAAATCCAAGTTATTGTAATATTTATTGAAAAAAAATTAAAATATTCATTTAGCTAGTTTTACATCTACCTTATCACCCATATTCTGTGAAATTCCATAGTAGTGGAGTTTTTCAACATGTACAAAAGGGCTGGTTAGTCAGATTTGTTAATCTGGCCCCAGATAGATTGGTAATCTGTTAATCTGGCCCCAGAAAGCCAGATTTCTTCTTGTCTCCATTATGAATATAGAAAACAGCATCAATATACTAACCACTGTGCCAACTATATTGCTGTTTAAGGTATCAGGTACAAAGAAATAATTCTATTTAGCTTGCAACTGGCCAAAACCAGACTGTCACAATTGTTCAAAACCTACAGCAGTCAACATCATCAAGGATAAAGCATAAATTTGAACTGTTAGTTGTAAGAACAATTTACTCAGTAGTAAGAACAAGAATAATTTTTTATATGGCAGCTGACACCTGCATTTCACAGCAATCTCAAAACAATCCCAAATAAATCCCCTTTTCCACACCTAAAGAGATTTCATATATACAAGACTCCCATAATTTAAGGGATTAGAAAAGTCTTCTAGAAGTAAGTGAAATAATTCAGCAAATGAAAATCATGTAGTAAACCCATCCCATACTCTCTGGTTATCATGTGATTTGAGGAAGAGACCATTAGAAATGTTTTCCCAACTCCATTAAACTCTACTTTTTAAAATAAGTGTGCAGTTACAAATATCTTGCTTCATAGTTTTCTTAAAATAAAAACATCCCATAATAACTGGGTAAAATGAAATTCTGTTTTTATAAAGGACAAGTCACTGATTTGAAACTGAAAGTTGAGGCTGAGAGACAACAGAACAGTTAGTCTTATATTAAAAGCTCTCATAACTCTATAGAAGGTTACTGTAATTACATAATGCATGAAATACTATACCTGTTCTCAGTTTCAGAAGTTTGATTTGTAAATGAAGTTTGCGTCAACTGCTTGGGAGCCAAGCCTACAATTAATCAAAGATTAAAACTTCATTGTAAAGTTTTTAGTTGCAAAGGAAACCGGAGCGACACAAATAGTGATTTGCAAAAAGATATTCAAGACAATGTTACAATTTGTTCATGGCCAATAAAAAAAGATACAACCTTCAGGCAGTATTCAGATGTTTCTACATATATACTTTAAAAAACACGCAATTTTCTTCAACATTTCCACAGCAGTTCTGCAGAGCAGTTTGCCAGCAGCTAAACAAGGCCAGCAGTGAAACTACATCAGAGTTTAAATCTGCTTATACCAACACCCATATAAATAGCTCTATGTATAGTATTAGAATCGTAAATGTATATATCCAAGGTGTGTTCTGTAACACTTAAGGAAAAGAAACAATCAAAAACAGCAAAAGGAAGAAAAAACTTTTTTTTACATTCTCTTAACAGTGCACTCAAAATCAGGTTCAGATTGAAAAAAAAAACAAAACAAAAAAACCCAAACCCCAAACCTTAAACCAAACCAAAAACCCAAAAGCAAAACAACAAAATATTAAGAGGGAATTTAATGAAGAGATCTGTTAGTGATCCATCGATAATATTTCTTAGTTAAATGTACTTGAGACAAAATATTCACATCACACTCATCATAAGGTTTAACAAACTGCATTCACAGACTGATAAAGACTGGATAATGAAAATGGGAGAGCAATTACTAAAGTAATAATTTGGTCAAGATCACGTAAAACAATTTAGAAGAAAGAAATGCAGATACTTATTCAAAGGAAGCAGTAACCAACAGAGAATCCTCAACAGAAACCAATCCAAGAGAAGAACCCAATTGAAATATGGAAGTTCTACTACTTTATTACATAGAAAAGGAAAGGACTTGGTTGGGGTTTTTTTGAAGTTGCCACTTCACCTTTACTCAAATGGAGCATATTTAAGCATTATAATATTCACGCATAATGCACACATACGCACTAAAAGCAGAGCTGGGTAGAAAAACAGACACTTCTCTTTCCCACTACACAGCCCAGAGATAAAAGGGCATTTGCTGCTAGTAAAGCAGCCATGGGTGTGACACAAAGAAATACGGACACCCTGGTGAACAGTTCCAATCCCAGAAGTTTAGTTCTGCACTAACTGTACCCTATTCTGTGAAGCACTCCTCTGAAAGGAATACTTATGCTTCCCACATAACTGGTCAGAAGAAGAGGAAAAATTAGCAGTAAACAATTACCTTGAGGTTCACTTTCTCCAGGTTCTTTTTTTAATTGTTTTGGTGGTTTAGGAGCTGTAACACACTTTACTGGAGAACTTTCTGGACTTGATTCCAGATGTAATCGAAAGTTCTAACAAAACAGAAAACGTTAAATAAAAATCAAAAACTATTTAATGCTTCTAAGCTATTAATAAAATCACTGAGTTAACTAAGTATTAACATCTTGAATATAGCACCAGTTTTCTGATCATTAGATTATTTTAAGCAAACAAGATGTGACTGATTAGCTAGTCTATATTGAAGTTAGTGGTATTAATTTTGCAAAAAATCATTTTTGTCTTATGTAGAAGCTTGTAAATACTTCCTATGGAATACCTTTGTCCTTAAAATCTTAAATTTTAATAGAAGCTCATTCAGATAGAGAACACTTTTTTTCCTCTCATTTCTTTCAATACACCTTTTCAGAACAGAACAGCCACGCAACCTTAAGTCATCAAAAAGTGTCCATATGAATCTGTACAATCTCCAACCCCAGCAGGAAATTTTATCAATCAACATTTAGTTAACTACAGAACTTTGGAGGGTGGAACAGATTCATTTCTAGCTTACTATCATCCCATCTATGGCAACACACCAATAAAGGATCTTTAATACATTTGAAAATTTTAAGTTACTGTAAAATAAAGTCATTGTTAAAACAAACTTCCTCAGCATGGCATTCTCAGAAAACAGAACAGATTTAGAACACCCTCCCACCATACACCATAATTAAAATGACTTACCTCATCTGGTCTTGGCTCACACAAATGTTTTGTCAAATTACGCAACAAACCGTTTTCTGCACTTCTCTTTGTGGGCTGTTTTGTTTCTAATATCACTTCTTTAGCTCCAGCTCTTTCAGATGAAGGATCTGATTTCTCCTGCACACAAGTTGCACTTTCATTCTCCGAGAGTCCTGTTAATGACAGCTTGCCTTGTGCCTTTGAAAGCTCTACTTCTGTAGCTATTTGACTTGCCTCTGAAACTTCAGGGTAATCTTTTAACAAAGAAAGCTTAGGGGCATTTGCAGAATTTAAGCTACCTTGCCTCATGTTACTAGCTTTCAGTAATTTAATTTTGGTCCATTTAGAGTTTTTGTTTGAGGAGTTATTTCTACCGTTCAGAGTGCATTTGACAGGCATTGCTTTTTTGCTAGGGAAAAAACGTTTGCATTGAGTACTTTGACTAGGTTCTTTCTGAGTAAGCATTTCACTTTGTTGAAGCTGTAGGTTGGCGTGCTTTTCTTCTGTTTTGCTATACTCAGCATTAGCGGAATCTTTTTTCACCTCTACTGTATCTGACTCAATCTCACCTGCGATTTCTTCACAAAGTTCAAGGATGCTTACCCTTTTGGATTTTGCATCGTTCTCTGGTTGATCAGCCACATTTGTTTCACTTACAGATGGCTGTGAAATCTTTTTTTGTTTTGTACTGTTTTTTACGTTCTGATGTATTTGCTGCTTTTCCTTAGTTACTGTCTTAGGATTTGGCTTAAGAGAATCTGTTTCCTCTTTTATTGTGTTGCTAGGAATAGGAGATACAGAGTCCGTTTGGTCTTTCTTAACTTCCTCAAGATTCTCATCAGGACATAATGATGACCCTTGAAGGCTGTGCTGAAAACTGTTGGAATCATCATCTTTATTGTCTGCTTTACATTTTTTCTCTTTCAGAGAGCTGGTCACTTCTACATGTGTTTCTTTATCCTTATCTGTATTGTCTGGCTTTATTTTTGTGTTTTTCTGTTCCTTTTTTTCTCCAGCAGATTTAAGTACTTTTGCTGAAATACTGCGAGTATGTTTTTTTGCTTGGCTACTCTGTTTAACTTGCAGAGCTTTTTCTTCTTTAACTTCTCTGTTGCGCAGTGATCTTGCTGGTACATGTACGTGTGTTAACTGTTGCAGCCTCTGTGATCTCCTCATTACTGGCTCATTTGGCTCAGTTATGCATTTTGACTTAGGACTTTCTTGCACAGATGTTTTCTGGCATACCTCCTTATTTTTTGTAGATTTAGACTGCTGTTGGACCTTTTTGTCAGGTACTGTTTTAGTATTCGAGTTGAATCCTGATGATCTTGTAGTCATGCGCATTCCTAGTTCAGGTTCATTGGTGTTGTCACTGAAAGATTCAAATAATTATTTTTTCAGCATCCAGAAAGTAGAATTTGTCATAAGACTCTTCTCATTCCTACTAGCTTCTTTTCTCTTAAAACAGTAGCTCTTACACCCTCAATACTTTTAGAAGAATTTTCTCTAGAATCATGCTGAAAACACTTCACTTCCACCTGGTTACTCTTAAGAATACTACTTCATGGTTTTTATGCATGGCAAGACTGAACTATGAAGCCCAGATGAATGCTTTTTAACATCTGTAGCAATTTTTAATTGTTGACATTTGTGGCTTTCAAATAAGTATTAGCTTATTTAGTAATTATTTTAACTTCAGGACCTTTTTTGGAGGAAGTCTTTCTGGATTTCAAGACACTAACATAATTCCAGAGAAAGATCATGTAGCAGATATCACACTTAATGAATTAAGGCTGATCTTCCCATTAGCACGAACTGTATCTTTAAGTCAGATTGATTCTGCTTAGATTGTTTCTGCACTAATTTAGTCTAGGAAGATAACCTAGAACAATTACTTATTTTTTTGTTACTGACCTGTTTGATTTGACAGAGGTTTTGAGCACAGTTTTCTCCTGCACTGCACACTGATTAGGCTTTGATTTATTTGAGACATGTTTTGTATCTGACACCTCTTTTTCCTTCTTCGCCGATGATGGTTTGCTGTTCTTGTCCAGCTTTGGACGCTTAGCAGAAGGCTCAACTAACATAGACTTCCTTTTCTGAGCTGCCATTTCTGTAAAACACAATAATTGATTCAGCTTTTAGAGTTTCTGTGAACTGTTGTTACTGTGTCAGTTAATACAACCAAAGATTCACCCATTTTACAAAATAAGGTAACCGATACTCACTTTTCCTTTAGAGGCAGACCATGCTAACTGTGATCAGAAAGCAAATCATCAAAGCAATCTCAAATCAAATTACATTTATTTTACTTACAGGTTTTTACAAGAGGCAATCGATGTTTAGGCCAAAGTAACTTATCAAGGTGTGCCAAGAGCATTCCTTATGTATATGCTTACAAACAGGACGTTTCATGCCACCTATGAAAAATACAAAATGTTCATGCGGTAAACATTTTATTAACTTCCTTGTCAGACTCTGACTTTGGCATTCCCACCCTCTTCCATCCCTTCAAAAATTGCTTAGTTTTAAAGTTTCTCTGATAATCAACTTAAAAAAAAAAAAAATGACACTACAAATTTTATTTCCATATCCAACCATTTTTTGGCATTTTTCTGTCTTAAGCATTACCCTTTTACCTTTCAAAAGGTGGCAGATATAGTACCACTTGAAAGGAAGTTTCTTAGCCTCTCACACTCTTCCAGAAAATAGTACGCTGCTCTCTTTCACAGCCCGCAAAAAAGTGGGCCTGCTGTCAATCCTGTGCCTCACAGCAACAGTGAATAAATCCATTAGACTCTACTAAGTTTTGTGGCTCCTACTACAGAACTTCATAGACATCAGCAACTGCCTATAACTGTTCCTTCTCATATGACTTAAGCTAAAAATTAGAGACAGAAAGCCTAGAAAGTAGCATTATTTGAGACATTTGCCTTGGGCAGTTAAAGATGACATCTTCATGAGAAATGAAATTATATTAATGACGCAGAAGTTAATACGCACAAGAATCTGAAAACTAGCAGAGACTCTCAGTAAAAGGTCTTCACAGATTCGGCTGATCATACCTTTCACATCTATTTGTGGCTTCTGAAACTTTTAAGCTATCTTATTCAAAGACACTGTTTTTCTATTACAGCATAAGCAATAGTCCAGATAAGTTTCACTAATATATTTTTACAATTAAGTTTACTGGAAGACTCAATGCTCAGAACTTCCAAATCACCTTTTCAGGTCAAGAATTATCTACTACTTTTTGCCATTGACACACTGACAAAGTAGTATTTCTGTAGCAAAAATCTATTACTTTTCAAACCTTAACTAATCTGATGTTAAATTTAACAGATTTTAAGGTCAAACAGGAACTTTAAATTACTAGTTGTATAACACAGACCAGAAACTTTCATTTCATTACAACTACTGTAAGCCTTCCAGTATTGACAAACGCCTGTCTTTCTCTAACAATTTGAAAGATACTTACATTAAGCTCTTTTTAATAATTAATTATCCAAAAGGAAAAAGTAGAGATGTACTTTTTCTTTTTTTCAGATTTAAATTGTCCTTAACCCCATTTTCATTTATCCACTCTTTTATGAAGATAATTCTAACCACACGAGACTGGTAATTTTCAAACTCCAGACACCAGTGCCGTCTTCCGACTTTCTCCTTTAAAGAAGCTGCATGACCAGTGGCTCGTATTTGAAATATTATTCAAGAACATATCCAGGAAAGAAATCTCTAATAACACTTTTTGTAGTGCTATTTCCACATCCCTAGGGAGCAGGTAACAGAATTTGTATGCCTTACTCCTAATGGCTCATGAGCTGCACGACACTTAGCAAGACTACGGGTTTCCACCAGTCAGAGATTATCTGTCACAGCCACAGTACAGCCACTCACACTGACAATAACAGCTCCAGTTGCTGAGTAAGTCTTCGGTCTTATATTCTCTTAGTTTAGAACACACCACTGACTCTCAGAATTTGAGAGCACCGTGATACACACTGAACACACCTAGACCTTCTTTGTTTTTCTCCAGACATCGCTGTCACTCTCAGCACGGCATACTCAAAAAAGACTTTCAAGTACAAAACAGAAAATATAATCCTTCCCTCACCGGTATTTCTTCTCAGGACACTGACAAATACACTCTCCTGCCACAAAGAGAACTAGCTCCTTAATAGTAATTTCTTTCCTACTAATACTTTGCACAGCAGAGCAAAGACTTTTCCAGACGTTGAAGAACTGGCAGTTTCTGCCCTGAAGAAGTCCCCTCTAGTAAAAGCCTGAGTATGGAGAGGAAGACACAGAAGTACAAGCACGAACTGCACAACGATCAAAGGCTTTGGTGCAAGAAGTAGAGGAAAAAGAGAAGCACGTAACTCCCGCACCCTCAAGCCCTTAAAGCAGAGGCGAGCCCTCCGCCTGTGCGGAGCCTGGGGGCTCACCTGCTCGACAGGGCGCTGGGGTCGCACGCGCGAGCCTCCCCCGCTGACTGTCACGACAGAACCCCCGCAGCCCCCACGCCTCAACTCCCGGCAGAGACCCCACGGCGCAACTCGAGAGGAAGGAAGAAAAGGGAAGGCCTCCAAGCGTGGCCCAGTGTCATCCGCCTCTGCGCCCCGCCGTGACAACCCTTCTGGAGCAGGGCCTGGCAGGGAGCCCCTACGCCCGGCCGCGCCTTCCTCAG